CTAGGGAGACTATACGATATTTACACATGTGTGTCTGGCTTATTTCACTTATGTTCAAGTGGCATCCACTTTAATATAAAGGCTTGCAGTTGGGCCTGGCATTTCTCTGTTGAAGCAGAGCCATTCCCAGAATTTTGTCTGTCTTGATGAGACCACTATGCTTACAATTCCACATCCAATATTTATTTTGCAAGATAAGAATGTCTCTTGTTGGTCAATTTTTTTGTTTTGTGGTGTTTTTTAACTGACAGTTAAAAGCAGTATGCATCTGTGGCATGTGCCACGGGTTCTGAGATGTGTGTACACTGTGAGTGGCTACACTGACCTAATTAACAGGGGCACTGAGGCCGGGGAGATGGCTCAGTGGAATAAGTGTTTCCCTGGCAAGTGCAAGGGCCTGAGTTCAATCCCCAGTTCCTCCAAAAAAAACAGCAGGCATCACTTTGGTGTTCTCTGTGGGGAGAGCCCACCAGCCCCACTCTGTCCACAGCACCCTGGATTCTGGCTGATCTGTGACTTGCTCCTCCTGTTTCACTGAGACTCTGTGCCCGGCGACCAACATCCCCTCCCTCCCCCAAGCTCCAGCAGCCACAAACCCTCCCTCTGTCCCTGTGATGTCACATTCCCTGGATCCCGCTTCCAGGTGAGACGTGTGGAACTTGGCTTTCTGTCCCTGGTTACTTCCCCTAGCATCGTGTCCTGGGTCCCCTCCATGGTGCCAGGGCCTCTTGGCTTCCTCTCTGGTCAAGTCATCTTTAACCACCATGCACTCCACCACGCCACCCTGTGGGCTTGCACAGAGCATTCTGGGCCCCCAGGTGCCCTGCACATGTAGACCCTTGCCTGGAGCAGGGCCACCAACACCTGCATCCACAGCAAACATGCACACAGCCTTGCCCAGTGATGCCTTCAAACCAGCCTGTGCCACCCCAGGAGAAAGTGACAGAATGGCATCCGTGTCCACCTCTTGATCAGGGTCTGCCAAGCACCCAAGTGTTAAGATTCCCTTTTCTGAGCCACCCTGTACCGTGTGCAGCCTGATGGGCCCCTGTGCTGCCGATGTGTGGCACGGATGCGCAGCGAGACGTGTGGAGCCTGTGCTGGCAGTGAGCCGCTGGGTGGCTGGGGCGCCTCAGCAGAGCGCCCTGCGGGAGGCTAAGTTGGGCCCTGCAGGGCAGCGAGGGAAGGGAGCTCCTCAGATCCCTGGCCTGCTGGGAAAGGTGGGATGCGCACAATGTTCCGAGGCAAGGCCCCCGCCCGAGCTAATTAAGTCCACGGGTGGAATACGGATCATTTCCCCGGTCAGCAAAGCTCTGCTCCTCGCCACATTTGGTGCGTGGCATATAAGCAGCTGCCTCATTAAGCCAGGGATCTTGGAGAAAGTGTTTGCAGAACAGGGACTTTGTAATGAATGCCATGATGCCCGCGTTGCTTGCCCGGTCCTTTCCCCCTCAGCTTCTTATACTTAATGATGTCCTTAATGAGTAGCCAACATACAGAAAAATGAGAACGTTAAGGACCAGTGTGTTCATGGACATGCAGAGGAAGTGAGTTATTCTTGCTCTGTAGAGCCAGCCAAGCTTCCCTGGCGGTCTAGTGGTTAGGATTCGGCGCTCTCTTTAGGCCAGCCTCTCAGCACGGCAGGGCACTTTTGTATATGCCACCATGTCACGCACACACATGCACACATGCACACACACGGACACACGTGCACACGCACACACATCACACACACACACACACACACTCTTCGTCATCCCTGAACGCGGGAGGCTCCAAGTCCTGTGTCAAACGTGACACTTTATGATCTGCACTGATTATTTCTCTGCATCCAGATTCTCAGAGTGGCAGGCTGAGCCTGGTCTCAGGACCTGGCACTTTGCTGGGGGAATTGCTGGGACTTCAGCCTCCTCTGCCAGCTGCAGGCCCTCGCTCGTATGCAGCCAGCCTCCGTCCTCGCTCGGGACCCTCCCTGACCTGTGCTGAGCAGGCTGAAAAAAGTGTTTCCGTCCATTCGGTCCAGGGGCAAGTCTAGCACTGGAAAGCAAGCAAAGCTGGCTGAGAAGGAGCCAGCCACCTTGCCCTGCACCCGGCCACCTCTCACCGTGCCTGTCCATGTGGCACGTGTGACCCTGCTGTCTCGCCCTCCCTCACTGGCACTGATTTCCACATTGGAGATGGCACAGATTCACCAACAACTGCATTTACATGGTGCCCGTTTTTCCAGCCGGCCATCGGCTAGGCTCTGTCACTCACTGCTCCTTCCAGCACCCTGGCAGTTCAGGTGATTCCGTGCAAAGTCACCTCTGAGTCACCTCATCCCAAGCTCGCACCTGACAGTGCAGAGAATCCCAAGCTCTGCTGGCCTGCTGCCTCCTAGGTACCTGCATGGAGCCCAAGGCCCCGCAGGAGTGGGTGGATCCATGAGCTCCCAGTGCTGCAGGGGGAGGTGTAGAGCAGCTACCAGACCCCCTGCACATGCCGGGACTCAGGAACAGGCCACTGGATGGAGCTCGGAATCAGGACTCAGAGCCCTCCACCCCACTGTCAAGCCCTGGGTCCAGGTTGGGATACCTGGAGTGGAAGGCAGTTGGACCCTGTCTTCAGGTATCAACAGGCTTTGCCATCTGGTGCTAGAAGCAGCAATGGGGCCTGCGCAGACTGAGGAAGCTCAGATTCAGCCATTATCCCTCCAGGGCTGTCCAAGTCCCTACCTGAAGAAGGGGCAGCCTGTGCCCCAGCCAGCCTCCCTGGGTACATGGTCTCCTCTGCCAGGGCTGGGAAATGTCCTCACAGCCACAAGCAAGGCCTGAGTCCTCTGAGCCCAGGGTGGCCCGGCTCTGGGTCCTCCCACTGCACCTGCCCTGGGTGGCCATGTTCCCCCAGCAGTGACCCCAGCTCCATTCCAATCAGTTCTGCTACCTGCCCAACCATGCACCAAGCACGGGTCCTCAGGCCCCTGCCTGGCCTCTGCCACTCTCGGGACACAGGCAGGATGTGGTCCTCACCTGCCAGGGTCCAAAGCCTCCCACTGTGTGACTACAGGAATCGTTACTCCAAAAGAGTCCTAGCGGGGGCTCATTTGTACCCCCATCTGTGTACCCTCAAGCTCAGAGCTGTGGGCGTGGGTTGGTGCTGGGATTGTGCACGGCCACACGCCAGGCAGCGAAGGCTGGAAGATCACAGATTCAAACCGCCTTGGCAGCTTGGTGATGGAGCCAGACTCTGCCTCAAAATGAAAACCGATACAGGAATGTAGCTCAGTCTGAATTCAACCTCAGGGCAGGAAAGGTAAGCACAGAGCAGAATCTTTCCTCCTGGATTGTGTCTGACACATTTAGAAAGTCTGTGTGGAGTGGACCCTGAGTGGCCAGAGGCTCATGGGAAGGGGAGGGAGTGGGTATCCGGGAGGAAACCGGGAGGAGCCCAGTTTCTGTCTCTGACTTTGCTAGGCTGGTGTGCTTCATGTTCTTCTGCCAAAGTGGATAAAATGTGTCCTGCCCTGTCTTGGTGTTTTGCGTGTTGCTTGCTTGCTTGCTTGCTTGCTTGCTTGGCTGGCTGTTGGCTGGTTGGTTGGGTTGGGTTGGGTTTTGCAGCACTGAGGGAGGAAGCCGGGGCCTCGGGCTTGCTGGCAACCGAGCACAGCACCGTCTCCATCTACTTCCTCTGCGCCACCCCGGGGTCGTGGCAGGAGCACAACTTCTCTGCAGGGCTGGCACTCCGGCAGGCCACCCGCCCTTGTGGACTGAGAGCTGGGCAGGGTGGCCTTTCCCACGGGGAGCGCTGGACGCACCGCTGCTCTGCTGCCACACAAGCTGACCTCCTGTGGCTGTGCCCAAAGCTGGGCAAGCATCACAGGCTGCCACCCTTCATTCGCCAAGTGCTCCTGAGCAGGACAGGACTTTGAAGGGGTGTCAGTCGCAACAAGGAGAAATAGTAGATTAATCAAGGTGTGTCAGTTTATGAGAGGGGCTCCTTGTGGCCCTGGTACCAAGTCAGGCAGGTTCGGCCATTGGCCTCAGCACCATCAGGAGCCTGGAGGGAAGGTATCTGGGCTCGGTGAGGACAGCCGGCCCCAGCAGCACAGGGGACACCGCTCCCATGACCCACCCACACCCCTCTGCTTTGCTTCCCCAGAGGAGATCCTGAAGACACACATTGCGCACTGGTGGTCTCCAGATGGCACCAGGCTGGCCTACGCCACCATCAACGACTCCCGCGTGCCGGTGATGGAGCTGCCGACCTACACCGGCGCGGTGTACCCAGCCGCAAAGCCCTATCACTACCCCAAGGTAGGCGGGCGGGAGGGGAGGAGGGCAGACAGGGCGAGTGGGCAGCGAGCGGGATCCTTTCTCATCACCTTGCATGGGTCCCATCGCTGTCGAGTAGAATTTGTAGCAGGTTCACTTTACTTTAAATAACGGAGCAACTGTGAATCATTTGCCTAAGCTTCACGGGCACCAAAATAAATACATGAGCATGCGCCCACCCACACGACTCCAGATTACCAAATCTCATGCTGTCAGGAGAGCCTCTCTCCTCCTGGATGTGCTTCCGCAGAGGCACAGGGACAGCATCTGGACGCAGCCTGGCCTGAGTGGCCGATGGGCCTGGTCCCTGCTGTGGTCCTGAAGTCTGTGTACCCCAGTGTTCTTCAGCTGACATCCCCACCCCAAGGAGGTGGCACCAGGAGGTAGTGCCTTGGGAAGGAGGCCAGGCCAGGACCAAGCCACCCTTGTGACTGGGATTAACAAGAGGCCCCAGAGAGCACTGCCCCTGCTGGGGCCAGGAGAGGCCACAGTGAGGAGAAGGCTCTATGCACAAGGAGCAGGTTCAAGTGACACCTAATCGAGAGCACCTTCATCTGGATTTCTGCCCACTAGAACAATGAGATGTGCATGCCTGGTACCATGGTCCCTGGCATTTGGGACTTCATTAGAGCCACATGAGCAGATGGAGCCAGTCCTGTTCTGACCCAAAAGCATCAGGGTCCGGTGGAGAAGGGATGCCCGAACCTCAGTCCATTACCAAATCACAGTGTCCTGCCCAGAGGGGGCTGACGATGAGTCCACCATGGCCACCTGAGCTGGTGGGCACAGATGTCCAGCTGTCTGCTGGTCGCTCTAGATGGCCCGAAGGTCACCAGGTCAGTGTGCATGAGCCCCTGGCTGCTGGACCCTCATGCACCTAAGTCTGCCGCTGTTCTCTGAGGCTCCCTCTCCTCTACCAGGGCAACACACCCCTCACCACAGACAGTGCTGGGTACCCACATACCACCCTCTGAGCCTTCTATGCCTGGAAGCATCCACGCCTGCAGTCTTGGCTACTGCACAAGAAGCTGATAAGATTGAGCTCGGGGGTGAGGAGACTCCCAGAGCCATAGGCCAGAAAGGTGTTCAGTGGGCTCCAGAGGCCAGAGCAAATCCACAGACCCTGTAGTTCACACAGTGGAGATTCCCCTCTCACGCCTCCTGGGCTGCAGTCTGATCTCAGGGTGTAGCTGTGGCTGGTTCATTTCTACCAAGGCATCCCTGACTGACTTGCATACTGTGCCTTCCACCATGTCTTCTTCACACGGTGCACGACAGGGAGCTCTGGTCCCTCCCTCTCTTGGTGCAAACACTAGCCCCATCAGCCTCCCAGCCACCCAAGGGACTTGCCACCCAAGGGTCAGTGCTCCGGCGTGGGAGCCTGAGGCAGCACCGAGTCCACAGGGCTGGCCTGCAGGGCCTTCTAGCTCACGTGGCCGTTGCCCACGGGGAGAAGGTGGAGGCGCGTGCCCCCAGAGCAGAGGCATCCAGGTGCCTGGAGCCCTCGGCGTGCTCTCTCCTCCATTCAGTTCCATCCTGAGTCCGTCTAGCTCTCAGCACACAATGTGGATTTGCCTTGATAAAGTGGGGTCCCTTCCCCTCATCTGCAGCCAGTCTTGATTGGAGCAGCCCCACATTACATGGCAGAGTCCAGGCGTAGCTGCCTGTCCAGTTAAATTGGGCACCAGGCTAGTCCTTCCGGGTCCTCCCAAAGCACACGCATGCATGCATGTGCACACACACACACACGCACACACACGCACACACACATTGTCTGCCATTTATCCAACTGCCCATAGATGGCTGGCTTCCATGGTGACTGCTCTCTAGGCAGCTCCTCAAATCTAGGAGTCCCACCTGGCATCTGGTGGGACCTCTGTCTTCCAATGACTTCTGGGGCCGAGACTCATATTGTTCCAGGCTTCTTAGGACGTGGGCTCTCACTTTAAAAGAATGGCAACCCACTCGGCCCGTGGAGTCCGGACAGCCCTTGCCCTGCTGTTCCTGCCCACTCCCTAATCGGGTCCTGGAGCTGGGAAACACCTCTGTTGATCTATGGTTGATCTCCTGGGTGCCTGTGCTCCATGCAGATCTAGAGGCAGGACATCAGCCCAGCTCCAGCCCCCTGAGGCAGGGGTTCTGCATCTTCCCCCAGCTCCTTCCAGGCCGGCACTTGTTACCCAGAGAGAGGGCAGCAGGGAGCATAGCAGTGTGTCGGCTCCTTGGCACTGGTCTCTCCTCTGCACACTGAGCCTCGGCGCTCAGGCCAGTGTCCCCACCTCTCCCCCTCACCTCCCCAGGCATCTTCTCTCCTCTGGTGTAGTTCTCTTCCACACCCATGTGGTTCACCAAGGCCAGTAGAACTCCTAATGAAGATGGAAGACTGTGCCAGTGGGTGGGCTGGGATAGGATGGGGTGGGGTGAGGTGGGATGGGCTGGGATGGGGTGGGGAGGGGTG